AGATGTGTGTGGGAAGGAACGCTCCGTTGCCACGGAGACCAATGTTGGCAGAGGTCAGGTGGATTACAGCGGTCACAGAAAGTCAGGGAGAACTCGAGACCAAGCAGGCCACAGGATCCGAAGGCTTCAGTTGGTCCACAAAGCACGGGAGCAGGAGGTCAAACTTTTGGGGGGAGCGCTATCCAAAATAGCGTTTAAAGCAAAATAAGAATATGCCAAGCAAAAGTATCGATAAAAATGCCAGTCAATACAAACCGACTACGAACATAAACACGTAAAATAATATATAAGGGGGTGTAATACGCGCTATGAGGAGACAGGCGTGCCGTGGTTTGAATCAGCGTTGAAAGCAGCTATTTCCTTCCGGGAGACCGTCACTCGCCTTTTTAAGGACCTCTACCACCTCATACAGGATTGGTATTCAACATAAAGGGACGGACTGAGTGGACTTTCGGGGGAGCTCCTCCCAATTTGTAAGAAGGCCCCACTGACCACTGAAAAGGCCCCAAGGTTGGAAAAGGGCACGCTGGAGTGTATATAGGCCGTTGCTCGTGTACAAAGATGCTTCCACCGACCTGTGAAAAGTACCAACCAGCTCAGCTGGACCATCTTCACAGGCAAGCAGGAGCTGCCTAACACTGCAGAAAGCCTCTCCGCCAGCAGACATGTGTGGATATCTCCACTGCCCAGAACGGCCTCTTAACAGGCCGGCGGGAGCTGCTCACCACTACAGAGAGCCCCCCCCCCCCCCCCCACCAGCAGATATGTGTGGATATCTCCACTGCCCAGCAGGGCCCCTTAACAGACCGGCGGGAGCTGCTCACCACTACAGAGAGCCTCCCCACCAGCAGACATGTGTGGATATCTCCACTGCCCAGCAGGGCCCTTAACAGGCCGGCGGAAGCTGCTCACCACTGCAGAGAGCCTCCCCACCAGCAAAAATGTGTGTATATCTCCACTGCCCAGAACAGCCTCTTAACAGGCCGGCGGCAGCTGCTCACCACTACAGAGAGCCTCCCCACCAGCAAACATGTGTGGATGTCTCCACTGCCCAGAACGGCCCCTTAACAGGCCGGCGGAAGCTGCTCACCACTGCAGAGAGCCTCCCCACCAGCAGACATGCGTGGATATCTCCACTGCCCAGCAGGGCCCCTTAACAGGCCGGCGGGAGCTGCTCACCACTACAGAGAGCCTCCCCACCAGCAAACATATGTGGATATCTCCACTGCCCAGAACGACCTCTGAACAGGCCGGCGGGAGCTGCTCACCACTACAGAGAGCCTCCCCACCAGCAAACATGTGTGGATATCTCCACTGCCCAGCAGGGCCCCTTAACAGGCTGGCTGGAGGTCCCGTCGGAGGCTGACAGGACCGCCCCTTATCGACCGGTACAGACCCTCTCCAACGAACGGTGAGTCCCCAACAGGCTATCAGGCGTCTCTGAACGTTTCTTCTGGAGACCCCTGCTTCCCGGTAAAGCGCACCCGCTGACCTGTGAGAGACACCTATCCGGTCGGCAGGAGTATCTTCACGAGCGTGCAGGAGACCCTTAATAAGACCCCGTTGAATGAAGACTCTCTGTCGACTTGAAGAGAGACCCATCTGGAGTGCAGCGGGTCGGTAATCGGGGGTCCTTTACAGTTCGGCACGCAAATGTATATGTTCAAACGAGGAGGGGGAGGGGGGGGGGGGAGCTGAGAGTCTCTAGCGGATTTGTGGCAAAGTCCTCTCGGTCCAGGTCCTTCGGGTCCATCCGGGGCCGGCCTACACCGGGATGGTCCTCACCCTCTCCGGGTTAGTCCATGATACGTATATGATAAGCTTCACAACGAGAAAACCAGCGTGTTTTGGAAAAGAGGGCAGGACTGCCGTAAGAAGCCAATTGCTTGTATTTCATTAGGTGCATGAAGAATACTAAGTCTTTGAAGGTACTGCAAATCGTAGTACCTGGCTGCACACAAACATGGGATGCAATCATTCTTCCACATCGGCCGTTGTTTTATGCCATAACATGATTCCAAATGCATGGACCCGCCTGGTCGCCGGGGTCTCTGAGCCCAGCTCGTCCCCTCCCCCTCCTTGCTGGGTAAAATCCTCGCAACGCCACTGGCCCAAGGCTCTGCACGCGAAGGCACTGCCGCTCGAACGGACTAGCTTCCAACCATCGTCGTCATTCCAGCTCACGCCTGAGTTATGAATGTGCACAAAGTAAGTCATTTTTTCTATTGCTGCCCTCCCCAGCCATTCCACGCCGCCCTCCACGGACGCCTGTGCGTCGCCAGACGGCGCCCCCGGGTCGCCCGCGGCTCACGAGCGGGACCCGCCCGGAGCACACCTCGCGACGGCGGCCGACGCGTGCCACGGGCGTGCGTCCGGTCGGTGCGTCGGAGCGGATTAGCGCGGCGCACGGCCGCCGGGCGGACGCCAGCGCGGCCGATCAGGGCTGCTCAGTGGAGGGCGTTCGGCGCCTGGCCGATACGCTTTCACGTCTGCTGAGCTGCGGCGACCCGATGCCGACTTTTTGCCGTAATGTTTTAATCGTTTCGCCGCATTGTGGAGGTAAACGGTACGGTATGGTAAGTAGGTGGGCGTCCGACTGGAAAAAGTGGGACGGAATAAGAAGGCTTGGCCCTCCGGCTGGTGGGATTGTTCCGTCCCTGTTGTTCACTATGGATACATCGTCACGCGACTTGTAGACAAGGCACTGGGGCGTGGGAAGCAACACTGAAGGGTGGGAGTGTCGAAATGGTTTTGTGGAGATGCTTGTGTTTGCTACAGCAATCACACGCCACTGTAATGAATGATGTACAAGTTTGCTGCGCAGTCTCCGAGCAGTCGAACTGCCCATATATCACACTCACCCTGCCAATGAACTCTGTTCAGATATCCCCAGTGGTTACGCAATGCCCACCACCACCACGACCACCACACTCCCACCCATAAACCCGGGGCGCCTGAGCGAGTCTGCGACGGGCGGGGGACTGTGCTCCACGGTTCGTGGGACCTCACCGGCGGGCTAGGGACAAGGTCGCTGTGGCGCGGGCGGGGCCACCGCAGCCGCAGCCGCGGGAGCTGCAGCCCGACCGCCTCCAGCGCAGCCAGCCGACCTATGGGCTGCAGCTCGGTGCCGGCTCGGGGCGCAGGGTCATCGCTCAGGCCTCCAGCGCAGCCAGCCGACCTATGGGCTGCAGCTCGGTGCCGGCTCGGGGCGCAGGGTCATCGCTCAGGCCTCCAGCACAGCCAGCCGACCTATGGGCTGCAGCTCGGTGCCGGCTCGGGGCGCAGGGTCATCGCTCAGGCCTCAGCGCCAGCGCCGACTCGCGGCGGAGACCAGCGCAGCCGCGGCCGTCGCCCGCCGAAGCGGCGCTCATCTGACCAGTCTCCCTCCCCTAGGCAACAATCACGGCGCAGTCTCCCTCTCCCGGGGCGGCGATCACGGCGCAGTCTCCTTCCCCCGGGGAACGACCACGGCGCGGTCTCCCTCCCCCGGGGCAGCGACCACGGCGCAGTCTTCCTCCCGGGGCCGCGATCACGGCGCGGTCTCCCTCCCCCGGGGCAGCGACCACGGCGCAGTCTCCTTCCCCCGGGGCCGCGATCACGGCGCGGTCTCCCTCCCCCGGGGCAGCGATCACGGCGCAGTCTTCCTCTCGGGGGCTCCGAGGTCAGGAGGCTCCGGCCGAGCCCCTGGGGTGACACCTAACGGACGCAGCCGCCCGCCTTGTCGGAGGGGTCAGAGTGGGCCAGAGGGGACCAGAGCCGCCACTTCTGGTGCATATCTCACTGGCTCTCTGGGTGCTCGGTGGTCGGGGCGCGCGGAGTAGGGGCGAAGGCCTTTGGACCTGGTCGGAGCGGCACTAGCCGACCTGAGGGCAGAAGACTGTCTGGATGGACAACAGTCGGCTGGAGTAGGTCAATTTCGCGCTTGCGGCACACGTGCCCATTGACATATCGATGACTGCATAAAACACAGTCCTTCGTGTACCGAGTTGCATAACGTATCTCTGGCATGCAATAGTCGGATGAATTTTGATATCGCGTTGGGTTTGACCCAGCAAGTGGTATTTCAGTGAATCCCGCAGTCAACCCCAGATGAATGGATACCGATCCGGCCCAGCCCCAGACCTAGTGACCCCCGTCGGCCGGATCTGTCCGCGCGAGGTTTGTGGGGGGGGGGGGGTCATCGATTTCTGTCCTTCGACCGACACAGGGCGGACGAGGGCCCTCCGACAACTGGAGGCACTCACCAGTCAAAATATCTTAAAGACCACAGACCCTTCAGACCCACAGACCCAAAGACCCTTCAGAGACTGGTCTGGCATGCGCCCCGGTACCCCGCACGTTCCTCCGCCTCCGCCGTTCGGTATGCGACCGCCGTGACGTGAGAATGCGCGCGCCGCCGCCCCGTCTGCGCCGTCGTCGCACGCGGCGCGCCAAAACCGATGGCGCGAGCGAGCGCGTGCGCCGAGGGACCACGCGATCAGAACGGGAGGCCCACGCGACTCGAGCCAGCCATTGTCAGCCGCGCTGGCACGAGGCCGCAGCCGGTGCAGGCGCGCGACGGGAGAACCGGGGAGGGCGGCGGGTGCAGAGCAGCCCTGTTATCGACGTCCGGCTTCAGTGGAAGCGCTATGCGTGCCGGTGGGACAACGCATCGCAATGCTCAAGGTTAGCGCAGTGTCAATGTCGACCTCAATGGTCCGGACGTGATGCTTCCCCGCCAGCGAGTTTGGCAGCATCACAACACGCGCAAGCGAAATGCGAAACGCTGAATGCGAAATGATGCTCGCGTTTCCACTCCAGTGGCGCGAGTAAGTTGAAAGAAAAAGGCACAACTGATGGCAGTTAAAGACACCCGTCCAGGTCGTTCTCTAGCAGCTCTCAACACGGTTGCCTGTTCCAAAGACCAGTCGCACAGCCGGCCAGGTGCGATGCCGGGTCGCACGCGGCACCGGCCGGCCGTAACTGGGTCAGGTCCCGATCGATCGGCGACGGCCGCTCACCTTCGCCTGCGCGCCTCGCGCTGTCGGCGGTCAGCTGCCGGGCTCGCTGCGGTCGGCGGCGACGGCCTGCCACCTCGCGCGCCTCGCTGTCGGAGACGGATCGACGCGCGCCCCGCAGCCTCCGCACCGCCTACTGCCGCGTGCCGGCTGGTGCGGCTGGCGGCGCCGGCCGGCGGCGCGCGCGCCCGCCGCCAGGAGGCGCAACAAAAGGTCTGACGTCACGCCTGCGGCGGAGGCGGCGCTGCCCCGCCGCAAGCGAGGGCTCGCCCGGGAACGGGCCACCGGGTCACGGGGCGCGCGAGCCCAGGTGCGGGATGATGCTAGTCGAGACTGACACGGGCTATCGCTCCGAAGGGCATGTAACGACTATATACATGAGTATCTGAGCATATCAAAATGGTCACCAGTGAGATCACCTCACCGAGGCAGCACGCAACCAACGGGGCTGCACCTGCAGGGAATTGGCTGAAATTTATGATAAATCGTATAACGCGGGCGGCGGTCTGGAGGAGGCATCATGGACCACTGCAGTTTTTAGATGAAAAGCATAAGTTCAGTAGAAAGAACGCCCCATGACTCACCAGTAAGACGCGATGCGCGGCTATGGGAGCCAAGGGGTCCATGACAGCGTGAGTGTTCTCGTGTACACGAAACCACAACCCGGAATGAACACGGTGAAACCGCGCAAATAGGCGTATCAAAGCAGTGGATAAATTCAAGTGTAATATCAAAGGCAGCAAAATTTTTTCGATACGCTACATCGATGTAATTCGAACGACTATCTTACGATGCCTGACAATGTAGTTACGCGGCGGGCACCATCGGAACAGATGCAGTATGAGCATGATGAAAAACAAACCGACAGCAACTGACGGACGACACTAACGTTCTATGGACCTGCTATAGCAGATTATGCCATAAAATCGGGAAAGCATATATATATGTTTATACATATATATATATAATATATATATATATATATATATATATATATATATATATATATTTGTCTCTCTCTCTCTCTCTCTCTCTCTCTCTCTCTCTCTCTCTCTCTCTCTATATATATATATATATATATATATATATATATATATATATATATATATATAAATTCTACCCAGCCCTAAACAGCCAAATTCTGGCACAGTTCTGCGGGTTACTGCAGGTGTTGGGCGTTAGGTTCGGTTGATGTGATGGTGGCTTCCTGTCTTTGCAGTGTTTCCGATTGCTGATAGTTTTTATACACATTCAGGCAGCCTTTGTTCGTAGGCATAAGAATATTTGCTTTCTGCCGTAGGACTTCTTGTACTCTCCGTACTTTAACATGGTATAAAAATGCGGTCGGAAAACCTCATTCCTTAAAACACGAAACATGCCACATGTGCCAGCTTTATTTCTCCGACGAAGAAACAAAGTGTCAAAATATTAGAATGTACGACACCTATGCAAATACGGTCATTTGTATCAGTAGTATGCCTACCTGTTCATTACAGTTAGTGCCATGAAGGCTGGAGACCATCTCGAAGAATGCCAGCTCTCACAGATCATGTCAGCAGGGTACAACGATCAGGGCGTGAAGAAGCTGTTTTGTGGGAGCAGGGAAAGCGTCGATGTAATGACATATCGGAAGATGTAACGTTGTGTCATACGGCCGCGCAAACACCAACAATCCCAACCTGTCGCACTGGCGGGAACGCACACTGTACAGACTACGTCCTATTCAGCGAGATGAGCCGGCGTACGCAGTGCGCCCAGCCTGAAGCGTTGCACTTTAACCCACTTTATCAAGGTGGCCTGCATGCGACACATTTCAAGAGGTGAAATAACAGGCACGCGACAAAAACAGATACACGGCGCCGAACTACCTCACGGAACGCAGTTCATTTCTTACGGCTCTGCAACGTTGACAAGACCTGCCACCATCAGAGGGAAATAAATACATAGCGGGTCGATATCTTTATAGCAGAGCCACTGTTAGAAATCGATATTACCATGATGCACCCCGTTCTTGGTACTTACCAGTACCAAGTATTTAGAAAGGAGTGCTTACTTCGCATGTGATGAACACATTTAGTCCTGAAATCTTGTCTTTGAATTTAGAAAACTTGTTCAGCAGTTTTTCGTTCGCGCCCGAAACTCACGACCCAAGCTGTGCTTTCCAGTTGAACGGATTGCCCACGGCTTTCCAACCAACAAGACTGCCAAGGGTTTCACGTGCCACAGGATGCCACGGTACGACCGCCTCGAAGCTGGGCTAGCTCTCGTCGGACACATGACCTTTCCACGTCAGTGACGTCACAGTGTGTGCTTGCTCCGGGACTCGTACACATCGCCGCTGCCACGGTAGCGGCAGATCTTCGCAATATTTGGCCGTGGAGCCACCGACCGTAGAGGTCACGTGCTGTGCGTGCGGCGCGACCGCATACTGAGAGGACACCGGACCCAGATTTGGCCTTCGCTACGCCGGCTCCAGTCGGCGTCGTCTGCGACCCGGAAAGCCAGAGTATCGAAGGACGAGGCAATGGCTTGTGGTGACATTATGATCTACTCATGACATATATGACGACTCGCTATTATGAACGACAATGACGTTGTTAAGAATGGCAAACTTGAAAACAGCTGGCGTGACACCGATGTATTGTGAAGAAAACAACAACGCATGTTCCAGATGTATAACACAGATTCATGGCTAAATTATGTGCAGGGCTAAACGTCCTGAACACTATAAGGGCGGCCCAGCGAGTTGCGAATTTCACGACGTACAGACCATATGTTTCACGGCGTACAGACCATATGTTTCACAACGTGCAGATCGTCTTCGTGTCACTCGACGTTCGTAATGATCCTGGTGACACTAACTGGACAGCATGCTTCCAACGCTGCCAACTCACAACTCTGCGCAGACAGACACGCGCCGCCGGGCCGCAACTCCCTCCCAAATTGGAAGATTCCCTAAACAATCATCACAGCTCGTCACACTCACACCGATTCACCATCACCGCCTTCAGCACAGTTTGCCAATCACAGAGATTGCCAGCGCGTCGCGGGCAAGCCTTCTCCAGCCGCGCCGGCGCCACAGTCGCCCGCCTCACTTGACCCGGAACTTCTTGAACAGCGGATGCTTGATATTGCGGCGGTACTCCATGTACACGGCGTCGTCGGCGCCTGACATGGAGGCCATGTTGCCGGCGCGCCGCTGGAAGCCGCCGCCACCACCGCCGCCGGGCCGACCCTGCTCGCCGGGCACACGCTCCTCGTCGGCGTCCAGGTCGCTGGCGGCCAGCACCTGCTGCAGCAGCTGACCCTGCTCGTCCTTGCTGTTGTACAACAGGTCACGGTCCTGCGGCCGACAAACCGCGGGTGAGGGGTCACTGGGGGGGGGGGGGGAGCGATGCGGGGGCGGTGCATCACGTCACGGGCCGAGGGCCGAGGGGGCAGGCCCGTCGGCGTGGGAGCGATGCAGGGAAGGGCCGGTTCACCGCGAGGACATCGGGTCACGGCTCGGGCCGAGGTGTTAACTGTAGATAGGCACATGGTGGAGTACTGGCGGCATCCTCCGCTGGGACACGCGAGCACGGAACGACTGAGATGGCGTGTCAGCAGAGAGGATGGCGTGGGAAGAAGCGGGGCGGTGCCCTTCGAAGATACATAGGGTCGCGAGAAAGAGAGAGACGGTGAGCTCGGCAGAGGGGGGGGGGGAGCGAGGGAGGGAGGGAGGGAGGGACAGTGCGCCCCCTTCGCAGTCACCATCTCCGACTAATGTGAGTCACCATCCTGTTAGATGGGACAGGTCGGAGCGATCTATCGTTATCCGAGGTGCGAAGTGCCATACAGTGACCGAGCAACAGTGACCGAGCACTGCGAACGAAGGAGCGGCAGCGAATTCAGCTTCAGAGAACTGAGTGCTGGAAGCGGTTCCTATGATGACGAGATTTGAGTGCGACATGAGGAGCGTGAGTCGAGATCGTACCAAGACTCCAGACTCAAAACTATAGCTCACTGGGAACTGGAATTCAAAAATGGCGATGATTGACGCCACTCAAGGCTGGCAGCACGACGGTAAGTCCCGGTTCGCCCCTGCTCTCTCAGTGCGGCCTGCGTTGCCCCTGCTCTCCCGGTCCGGCCTACGTCGCCCCTGCTCTCCCGGCCCGGCCCACGTCGTCCCTGCTCGCCCGGTCCGGCCTACGTCGTCCCTGCTCTCCCGGCCCGGCCTACGTCGCCCCTGCTCTCCCGGCCCGGCCCACGTCGTCCCTGCTCTCCCGGTCCGGCCTACGTCGTCCCTGCTCTCCCGGCCCGGCCCACGTCGTCCCTGCTCTCCCGGTCCGGCCTACGTCGTCCCTGCTCTCCCGGCCCGGCCTACGTCGCCCCTGCTCTCCCGGTCCGGCCTACGTCGCCCCTGCTGTACGTCGTCCCTGCTTTTCCGGTCCGGCCTACGTCGTCCCTGCTCTCCCGGTCCAGCCTACGTCGTCTCTGCTTTCCCGGTCCGGCCTACGTCGTCCCTACTCTCACAGTCTGGCCTACCTCGTCCATTCCGGCCAGCCGGGTGATGACCTTGTAGCTGTAGCCCTGGTTGACCAGGAAGCGCTGTCGCTTCCTGGAGAAGCTCATCTCCACCGTGTCCTGCGATACGAGCGTGTAGAAGAAGGCGTTGTACTCCTCGGCGATGGCTCCTGCGACACATAGCTCGCTGTCACCACCGCCGAGCCTCAGACAAAACGTAAGCGCGGCTAAGAACGCGCAGGAAGTGGCGCAAGAAGCTGACGCGTGGTCTCGCTAAATAGCGCTCTACTCTCGCCGCCTCTGAGGTCTCGTGGCCGCTCCTCCCCGACGTAGAATGATCTGCCCCGCCACCGAGTCACCCATCCCGTCTCAGCTATCATGCCTTGGCGAGTCCGTTGCTACCTCTCATCGCGCTCAATCATGGGAAAAATCGCCACGCGACACGAGGCTGCTCAGAGGCCATTTGGCAGGCGCGCCACGGTCAACTGGCCTGACCTTTCTTAGCACGCAAGATGCGGCCCAGTCGCTGCGCCTCCTGACGCCGCGAGCCGCCGTGCGACGAGATCTGGATCAGCACGTTCGCCTCCGGCAGGTCGAACGACGTATCGGCCACCTTGCTCACGAAGATGGTGTTCACCTTGGGGTTGAACTTGAAGTTCTGCAGGATCTGGATGCGCTCGCTCTGTGGGCCGGGTTTGTTATGACCGGCCGCAGCTGGGAGGCTCTTGTCTGCGGGACAATACGTGATATGTGCTGGCCGGACTGAACCCCCGCCCAGGCCTATACATCCGGGTCGCTCCGTGGTTGTTTACTTCCATATAAATAGTTAATTGTTACGAATGCTTGCAAACGTTTGGCGTCGAATTTTGAGATCGCCTGTCCAGTTATCGATGGATCGCGGCCGGACGTCGCTTAGAATGGACAAGCCTCGGTCAGAAACATGCCGCCATAGCAAAAGCGGGCACAAGGACCACCCCACGTCCATAAGAGACAGGTTGCAGCACCTCCACGGCGCACGTCCAGACCCCAGCGCTCCCTTCCACAGCCGAAAGTCTATCACCGTTGACAGCGAATCACACGGCATGTTTTAAATCCCTCCTCGAGTTAGCAGCACGCCGCCCCCGCGGGCCCCGGACGAATCACACGGCATATTTCAAATTCCTCCTCAAAAGAGCAGCACGCCGCCCCGCGAGCCCCGGACGAATCACACGGCATATTTCAAATCCCTCCTCAAGAGAGCAGCACGCCGCCCCCGCGAGCCCCGGACGAGGCATGTTTCAAATCCCTCCTCGAGTTAGCACCACGCCGCCCCGCGAGCCCCGAACGAATCACACGGCATATTTCAAATTCCTCCTCAAGAGAGCAGCACGCCGCCCCCGCGAGCCCCGGACGAATGATACGAAATGTTTCAGATCTGTCCTCAAGTGAGCAGCACGCCGCCCCCGCGAGCCCCGGACGCGTCGCAGACCTGTGACGTGGGACCGTAGATGTAAGGCTTGTTCATCTTGATGGCGTAGTGCTTGAGAGCGAACACGTTGTCGGAGAAGACGATGATCTTGTCGGAGCGCTTCTCGTGGTAGCGGATCAGAAACTGGCATGCCCGAAACTTGTTCGGGTTCATCGCGTACAGAAGCTGCAGAGGGACGAGCTCGATCACATGGCCGCTTCTGACGTTGTCCGCGCCGGTTGCTTTGTTTGAGGCGCGGAAAAGTGGTCGTATGAACATCTGCCTGAGCCAGATGTGCATACCAACAATACAATGACAGTAAACAGCAGCAAAACATAAAAGTAAGTGAGCAAAATGTCGCAAAGCTGTCGGGAGCAGCAATGCCACGATCTTGACCAAAAACAATATGTTAAAAAATCGTAGGCAATGCCATTAGCGACTGGAATCCAAAATTGACCGTAGAGCCCAGCCCAATGACACAGCAACACTGCCGGGAGCCCCACGGACCAGCACCGAGCCGGACATGTGGACGGGTGGCATCCGACCAGACCGACGGCGCGCACAGAGACCAGGCCGGACCGGGCCGTCCACCCGTCACACGTGGACACGTCACACCTGTCACAGCTGTCCGACCAGACCGCGCGCACGGAGAGAGGGCCATACCGGCCGCCCGGCCGTGATGGCGGGACGGCGGCCACTGACCAGCCGTTTGGTGCTCCTGCAGGCGAGGTACTCGCGGTAGAACTCAGGCGCCATCGGACACCACACCTCGGCGCACTGCACGCGCGCGATGTAGCCGTTTTTCTGCAGCTCCAGCCAGTTGGCCTCGTACAGCTTGGGACCTGCGAGGCGAGGCCAGCGGCAGGCGTCAGGGGACGGGGGAGGGGAAGGGGCGGCCTGACGGACGAGGGCGGGCGTCTGCCGCCCGGCGGCGGCGCTCAGCGCACTCGACTGACCACGAGAGGCACGGAGACATGACAGCGCCACGCCAGGACAGACGGCGCCGCAGCTGTAGGCGCGGAGCGGGTGACGACACCGCAGCCCGCCGCGCCGCGTCTGACCAGATGAGCCGCGATCGCAGCGCATCACAGCTGAAGGCGGTCCAGGCACGCCATCCAGACTGGTGGCAGACGGGACAGCGCAGCCCGCGGCCGGCGGACCGGCGCACAGTCACCCGGCGCGGCCGACTGACCGATGAGGAAGTTGAGGTCGGCGATCTTGTCGTCCTCGCGCACCAGCGTGGCCGTCAGACCGAGCTTGCAGTGGGCCTGCACTATGGTGAGCACGCGCCGGAACATCTTGGCCGGAATGGTGTGCACCTCTGAAACACGCGACGGCCGGGTCACGCGACGGCCGGGGTCACGTGACGGCCGGGTCACGCGACGGCCGGGGTCACGTGACGGCCGGGTCACGCGACGGCCGGATCACGCGACGGCCGGGGTCACGTGACGACCGGGGTCACGCAGCGGCCGGGGTCACGCAGCGGCCGGGGGCACGTGGCGGCCGGGGTCACGCAGCGGCCGGGGTCACGCAGCGGCCGGGGGCACGTGGCGGCCGGGGTCACGCGACGGCCGGGGTCACGCGACGGCCGGGATCACGCCGCCGGTGCACCGGGGACGCGTCCGCCAGGCCTGGTCAGCAGAGTACCACAGCAGCAGGCCGAGAGCAGCTTTAATTCAGCAGTCACGAACGTGAAGGAGAGTCGCGGCTGCTCATGCAAGAATTGCGTCTGCGTATAGACATGAGTGAGACTAGCACAGATGAGCTCACACCCACATGTCCGGAGCCAGAAGACAACGCTCCGCAATGGGATAAACTTCGTACAAACTGCACCAGAAAGGAACTTCGCGGTTCGAAGAATCTAGCAGTCTGGTGAAATCAAGTCAAGTCAAATCAAAGGACTCCAGCAGCCTGGCCCGTTCGCCGTCTCCGGCCGCCACTAACCGTCCAGCACCATGATGCCCCACTCCTGCTCCTTCAGCCAGTTCATCGTCTGGTCGGCCTCCCAGGAGCGCTTCTGCGTGTGTGTGATCATGTTGAAGGTGGTGATGAGGATGCTGCAGCCCATCGGCTTGTCCTTGGCGTCCGAAGTGAAGCGGCAGATCATGCTGTCGTCCGCTGCCGCCGCCCGCGTGCACGGGGTACGTTAGCAGGCGTGGTCACAAGACAAGACAAGGTCGCTGTCGGTCAGGGTCGGGTCCACCCACTGTCTGCGCACAAAAAGACACGGGAACGAAAACGGAAGACGATGGTCCATTATTCAGTTAACTTCGGGTAGCCCTTTGTGCAAAATAAGACAGCCACGAGGCGAAAATTTACTTCGAGTGGATCCAGCGCAACTTGATGCTGGAAAAGAGCAGCTGCATGGGACGACCAGCCAGCAATCAAGATGTGTGAGTGAGCTGCTCAGAAGTGCGTACAGTACACAGTACACAGAAGTACACTTGGCACACGGCAGAGTTCTCGGAGTGGGGTGCATCCGCCCACTGCAGCAGACACCCAGCCACCGCACACCCACAGCACAGCCGTCCTCGCCCGCCCACTGCAGCGGACACCCAGCCACCGCACACCAACAGCACAGCCGTCCCCGCCCGCCCACTGCAGCGACACCCAGCCACCGCACGCCCACAGCACAGCCGTCCTCGCCTGCCCACTGCAGCAGACACCCAGCCACCGCACGCCCACAGCACAGCCGTCCTCGCCTGCCCACTGCAGCAGACACCCAGCCACCGCACGCCCACAGCACAGCCGTCCTCGCCTGCCCACTGCAGCAGACACCCAGCCACCGCACGCCCACAGCACAGCCGTCCTCGCCTGCCCACTGCAGCGGACACCCAGCCACCGCACGCCCACAGCACAGCCATCCTCGCCCGCTAACCTGTGGACCACATCTTGAACTGGGCTTTCCACTGTTCCACGGAGACGCCCGAGTTGCAGAGGACCAGCGCGCGCTTGCGGACCGTGCAGCAAGCGGTCACGCCCACCAGACTCTTGCCAGCACCTGCGGGTCGGCAGCAGATGTGAGCCGCCTCACACCACTGGACTGTCGCCTTGTGAGCAAGGCAGTCATAAGGACAGCCACCAGGCCGGAGAGTCACACAGACGGGCATGATAACGGTCCCGAGAAGTCACTGGGACGTTCATCAGGCCAGTCATCACGACGGTCGTCGGCCGGTCACCAGGTCACTGGGGCCATCAGCAGGCCAGACATCCGGGCAGCTCCCGGCGCCGGCGCCGCCGGCCACCCGGGCCATCCAGACGGATGGCCAGTCACGGGAGGGACCCACGGATGTGCCGGGCGAGACGCTGAATCGAGCGTCTGCTCCGGCCGTGCGGAGACCGACTAGTGACGTCGCTCTGAAGCCCCGCGGTTGACGCAGGGAGCCGTCATTGACCGCGGTCACAAAGAGTAGCCGCTGGATGAACACACGCGCACCACGGCTGGAGAGCCAACGAAGACAACACCGCACATGCATCGCAAGGCATTGCATCGCATATTCATCGCAGAGATTACACAGCGAGGTCCCTCCGCACGACAACTTGCTGGCACCTGAAGAGCAGCTCCGTCCGGCCCACCGTCCAGAGACCACACAGCGAGGTCCAGGGGACTAGGCGGAGACAATCCGCCCGAAGTCAAGGCCCGAGGGGGAGGGGGCATGCGCAGAGACCCACCGCAGGGCAGGACGATGACGCCGGAGCGGGCTCTGCCATTGCCGAACATCTTCCTCAGCGACTTCTCCTGGTAGGGGCGCAGCACGGCCACCGGCTTGAGGTCGATGTTGATGTCGCGGTTGACGGAGTCGTTGCGGAAGTCGTACTCGGCCAGCAGCGGGTACTCCAGCTCGATGCAGCGTTTCTGTATCACCTCGATCCTGTCCTGGCGGCGCGGCGCGGGATGGGTGACGCACCGGAGCCGGGACAGCGGCCGTCGAGCTCGAGCGAGGCGGCCCTCCCGCGCCCGCCCTCGACACCAGACTCCGACAGGGCGGCGCTCACAAAGGTCCGGCCACAACACTCGGGTCAGGCTCACAGAGCGGACAGCGGCAAACATCCGGGAGAGTGGTCGCAAGTCCCGTTACCATACCTCCATGCTCGAATCGTCACCCATGGTGAGCGTCCAGCATGTGCCAGTCAGCATACTGGCGCATGGCTGGTGTGCCTACAGCTATGCGTTTGAGCACAGTTAGCATAGTTACAGCGGTCTGCCAACGCGGGGTCGGGCAAGCCAGCCTCTACCAGCATCAGCAGGCTGTCTGCCTGCTCGGCGTCAGCGTGAGGACACCTAACGGGCTTGGCACCGGACTCCGACTGGACTCACGGGACGCTGAACCTGCCATTCTCCAACCAGCCGAACATTCTCCCCGTCAGAGGTCTCCATTCTGCCGCGAAGAGCGGTCTTCGTCGGCCACGCAGCGCAGACGACACCGCAGCGCCGCCGACCTGCCTGACCTCGGAGGTCGGCGTCTCGGCCCGCGCAGCCCTGCCACCGCCGCTGCCTACCTGCTGGACCTCGAACGAGACCGTCTGCGTCTCGGTGGCGTCCTCGTCCTCGTCGTCGTCCAGTCGGCCGTAGAAGTTGGTGATGTCGTCCGGCACGGCCTCGGCCGCCTCCTTCTCGCCGGCCGCCGCCGCCGGCTCGCCGCCGGCCGGCTCCGCCTTGCTGCCGAACTGCGGGCCGCGGGGGCTGAGGTGGCGACCGGCAGACGCGGCGCGTCACGCGCAGGGGAGATAGCGCTGATCTCCACGTGGAGCAGCTCCGCGGCGCGGTCGGGACGCGGTCCAATGTCACAACACGGAGTGTCGCGACGCAGAATGACCTCAGAAGCCGCGTCAGCTGACCGAACCGACGGCCAGTGCGCAAACAGTCGCTGGCAGAATGCCGGACACGAGGGTTTGGGATGCGACGCCCCGCCAGCGTCGTCAGCCCCTGCACTGGCCCCAGACACGGCACGGCACGGCACGGCACGCCAACCTCCGCGACTCTCCTACCTGACGGCCGGCCGGTACACGGCGACACCCCAGTGTGGACGGCACGGCTCGCTAGTACAGTGAATGCCCGGTAGCGAGCCCAATAGGAGGCCCGCGGACAGCGCCCACAATCGTCGCCGGCAGGGCCTGTGTGATCCGCTGCCACCTCCTCCCCCACCCCATTCCCTAGACATCGGAGTCTGGCGGCACCTGCACTTTGTCGGTCTTCTGCTGCTTCTCGGTGATGAGCGCCTCCGTGTCCTCAGCCGACTGGCGTAGCCGGCAGTCGGAGATGACGGCGTCCTTCAACAGCTTCTGGATCACCTCCGGGTGCTGCGACTCGATGAAGTAGCGGTTGTGCTTCAGCACGAGTTTTGCCTGCGGCAGTTCCGCCCGTACTTACTGCCTCGTCTCAACAGCCGAATGGAGAAGACAACTCAGCAAGTCGCAAATCAATTTCATCCCACCGATTGTCCCTAGGTTTTCCCTTATATAACCGGATGATGGTTTTCCGGAGAGACGTCGGGATCGTACCCCTCTTCAACTTTGGTATGCTGCGGGTGCCTGGCATCCCGCACGGCACAGTATTGCCACGGCTCGACCAGCTACAGGGACGGATCAAGAGGCCGACCTTGCCGTAGGAGACGGTGCAGAGCCGGATGAACTCGATGATGCCGTCCGGAATGGATGTCTTGCTGAGCCGCTTCAGGTACTCGATGATGTCGTCCGTCTGCAAGCCCACGCTGACGGCCGCGTACAGCGAGTACGCCGTCAGCTTGTACTGCAACACGACAGCCCGTCGTCACACCGCGGGAACGTCAGGCGCGAGCCCCACGAGCTCGACGCCACGGCAGCGTGCAGCACAAGGACCGAACACGAGCCAATGGCGCCGCGCAGCATAAGATCCAGATATGCGGCGTGGAAACGAGAAATACACGATACAAACGCCCATTGGTGTCCACGCGGACCACCGAGAACCAATCCTACGAGCAGGAGAGCGGGAGCTCAGGCGGGTATCACTCGTCAACTCGTGCTAGGACACGGCGACCCAGCAGGGGAGCGGGAGCTCAGACGGTATCACACGTCAACTCGTGCTAGGACACGGCGACCCAGCAGGGGAGCGGGAGCTCAGACGGTATCACTCGTCAACTCGTGCTAGGACACCGTGACCCAGCACGAGGGCGCGAACGAAGCAAGTTCAGTCGGAAATAACAGACAGCAACCATACAGTGGACATAACAAGAGCATATCATGTAAGTATATCATGTATAATATAAAGCGTATTGAAAAAGAGCCGAGCGTGGCTGGCCGCCCAGAGGCCGACAAGAGTACACTTCTGGAGTTCCCGAATCCGTCATAACGGGTGTGCCGGGTCCAGCTCTCAGACGTCGCCTTCTCTTGGTCAGCTGGCAATTGGCCCCCCAGCCAGATGGTCCCTGACTGCCCAGTCCGCTGGCGCACGGGACGATCGCCTCCGTCCGTCACGCGGTAACGTCACGTCCGTTACGCGGTCACGTCACGTCAGCCAGGCGGTAACGTCACGTCCGTAACGCGGTCACGTCACGTCCGCCACGTGGGGGCGCGCCCTCGGACGGCGGGCGCCTCACCTCGTGGATGTGCTCGGGCCGGCAGACGGGCTCGGCGATGGCGATCAGGAAGTCGTGCGCGTGCCGGTACACGGGCGAGAACGACTCGAGGAAGATGTGTCCATCCGGCGCCTGGTGCAGGGCGTCGTCACAGTCACGGAGCGCGGCTCAGCATAGTGCGACACTGTCACGCGCATGAAGCAGTGTGGCCCATGGTAACCAGGCCAGTAGACATGGTGCTCTGGTTACTGACTGGCTAACCACAAGTGAGCACCATAAATCATTTGGATCAGGGGCTTATTATGTGAACTAGCACAAATTTCTCTGATTGATGCTAATACAGGCCATGTGCACCAATCGAGGTCACCTACAGTTTTTCTGCAGCTATTGCATATATTTGAAAGGGATTGGTTTTAACCCTGTATGATTGACTACATTTTGTTTGCACACAAAAAAAACAGCAGTCATGTGACTGATACAGCTGTCCTAAAAAAGCAATACCTTTTGGTCTTACTGCGGATACCAGAAAGAGAGTGAGTTGGCTTGGAATGCCAGTGCTTCACACATCCTCTTTGCAGGAAAAAGTGGGTGAATTGGTCAAATTGCAATAGAATCTAGACAAAGACATGAGAACATGTTCAAATAAAGTACAACCAAACAAAGTAGAAACCAAATGTTAAAGCAAACATAAAATGCCAGCTTACCACCCACAGTGGCCGAGAGACATGATCAGGTTTCAACAGCATCTGAGATCTGTAATCCTTGGCACCAAACTCATCCTCAGCTGCCTGAACTTCCTTCTCTGCATCATGCTTGGCAGCATCTGGGACTCCATCTGTTATGAATTCATAAGGTTATTATCATACTATGAGAACAAGACTCCACCAACAGCCAACATAACATATATAATAAAATCTGCCTTGTGTTGCATCTTACCATTAATAAAACTAGTACAGACAGATTACCTGCCATATAATAGCATTACCTAGCTATCTGCATAATTTGAAAAGTAAGTATACAAACAATCCCTGTTAAAAGTCACAACAATACAAATGTGATCCATAACAGAAAAACTATGCATATAAATGTGTATATACATATATATATATATATATATATATATATATATATATATATATATATATATACATGCATATGTATACATGTGTATACGTATTATTCACTTTGACACACTTCACTTGGGCTGAATGTTACTGGCTGACCTTGCTCTGGATCAAATCCATCCTCTGAATTATCATTTGATGGTGGATCATACTTCCTCTTGCCACGGAAATCTGCCAATCAAAACACACGTTATCCTTTGACATATTTTATTTGGTAAAATACTCCTCTCATCTGTTGAGATGGATGTCACACCTTTGATAATTAGTTTCTATAAAATTCAAGCATGTTTTATAATGTTACTTCAATCACACCTTAAGGCTGCCAAACCAGCTAGCTTTGGAAAAAACATAAATGCTAAAAAACAAAATAAAAATGCCTAAAATCGAGGGAACTTTGCATAAAATGGCATTACTTTGTCATGATTTAAGTGAACATACCCAATTGGACTTACCAAACTTCTTAAGAAATGAAAAAATTGGATTTTTAAGTAACTCAATATCAATATCCTTGTTGATTATCAAATAATCCAGTTTCCCTAACTTTTTTTCAAGCCACTCTCAATGAAGCTGCTCATTCTTAAGAAATTGAATGCAAATGTACCATATTCCAAAATTCAAGGCTACAGGTGTGTAGTCCTGGTTGCAACACCAGCTTGTCAACAGAACTCTGCACTTCCAAAAAAAGTTCCATGGAACTCCATTGGAATTGTTCCTTTAATCTAGTAAGAGCTATTGTTATTAAGCAACTTATTTCAATTTGATCCAGATGTGATCATCATATGAAGTGTAAAATGACATGATCAAACATTATAGCATACATAACAGGCATATTTCTGTGATACACATGATTAAATATTCCATGTCTAAAATGAATCTCATTCAAATCATGTCAAAATCAAAATTTATTAATATCATTATGATCAAGCAAGTCCCTCCTCCTGCACATTATGATGTGGAATGCAGGGGATTTGTTGTTGTTAATTAGGGTTTTTGGGTGAGCTGACTGCATAGGTCATATTGCTCCCATAATGTTGTCATTTAGTTACAAGGTGAATATATAGAGCAAAATCCAATTTTTGCAAGGAATGAAAACAGTCGGCCATCTTCATGAAGTTGAGTGATTTCTGAGAATGTCACTTAGTGTAAGGTTGAGAATGCAGGGGATGTGAGGGAATGATGAGCTGATGTGGGATGCTCTGAATGTTAAGGATACATGCCTGAAACAATTATCTAACCTGCAGCACCACAGCCTTGACACAAGCTGTGGCAAATTGGTCAGAGCCCTTAAAAAACGCACATATTGTCCTGTAACTCGCCACAAGCAGGAGCACTAGTGCTGGCACACAAGCGCCCTGAAAATAAATGTTGCTTACTGACCTTAGTGTTCTAAAGCTTACAATTTAACAACATAACTTGCTTTGATACCCTAACAAAGCCACACACATAATTTATCATGCACCATTAAGACCAGCTCTTCACATTCATTCTGCCATTCTTTTGTGATCCATTCCAGGGCTAAATCCTCCAACAACAACAGAACTTTCACCTTTTTCATATTTCCCTTTCTTTCCACCACCCATTCTTAACGTGGCAGGATACCGAGGCAGCCAGGTAATATTGCCTCCAGCAGCCTAATGTTCAAAATTGAATAAGTTCAATCTTCACAGAACCAGCATTCCCATTTTTAAAGTAAATTATGAACTCGAAAACGGTGTGTGAACCAACACACCACCAATGCAAACGCGGCCCCCCAGCACGCAACACAACTCGGCTTTTTTTACTTGGGTACCTGTATTGCCGACGGTGGGGAGAGAGCTACGCTGGCTGCAGGGTTCCTGTACTGCCATGATGGAGAAATGCTGTTAGGTATCAGCCGACGTAGTGACGTCACTGAAAATGGGTTTGCATCGATCTGGGTTCTTTTGGGCCGACTGAAGGCTACAAGGCTTTTGCTAGCGATATGATGTCACTGGTATTCGACTGGATATGTGACGTCACTGGTTGTGAGGCTTTAGGGCTCTTTTGGGTGCAATGAATGCCGTAAAGCATCACCTGACGATATGTCGTCGCTGGTATTCAATGAAACATCAGGCGCAACGGGCCTTATTCCATCTTTACCTTTCGTACCTGTCTGCTGCAAGCATTTGCGTGCCGAATAAAAGCTTGACCGAATCACCTGAATGTGTGACGTCATCAATCACCACTTGATACGAGTGCACTTAGGCCCCACGGCCGCGGTGTATCATGTTCCGTGAAATATCACTGGGTATCGTGACGTCAGTGATATTCGACTAAATATTGGTCGCAACAGGTCAAGGTTCATTTTTAGCTTCGTACCTGTCTACTGCAAGCACTGGCGTGATGAATAAAAGCTATCAAATCACGTGAGTGTGTGACGTCACTGGTCATGCATTTTTATGGATCTTTGGGGGCCAACTGAGGGCCGTAAAGCATAGCCTAATGATGTGACGTCACTGGCATTCGACTGCGTGTGATGTCACTTGTGATCAGATTTTACGGCCTCTTTTGGGCCGACGAAAGGTCATACTACATTAACTGAAGATGCGCCGTCACTGGTATCCGAATACAATTCAGGCGGCCATGGCCATGCTCCATCTTTACCTTTGGTACCTGTCCATTGCAAGTATTTGAATGCTGAAGGAAGGGTCTGCCGAATTACCTGAGTGTGTAACGTCACTAACCATTAATTTGTATAGACTGTTTTGAACCCACTGTAAGCCATACCACATCAGCTGACCATATGACGTCACCGGTTTTCGTCTAGGTGTCATGCGCAACAGGCCATGCTCTATCTTTGCCTTTCGTACCTGTTTACTGCAAGCATTCGCGTGCTATATCAAGGTGATGCTGAACCATCTGAGTGCGTGACGTCACTGGTCATGAGTTTATACAGGTTCACTTGGGCAGCCCAATGCAACAAAGCATCATATCCTGTAAAGCATCGCGGGATGATATGACGTCACTGGTATTCGACACAACATCAGGCGCAACAGGCCATGTTCCATCTTTACCTTTCGTACTTGTCTACTGCAAGCATTCGCGTGTTATATCACGTCATTGGTTAAGAGTTCTTACGGGCTCTTTTCAACCCCCTATATGGTATAATGCTTCAGTTGACGATATGATGTCACTGGTGTTCGACTTAGCATCAGGCACAACATGTCATGTTCCATCTTTGCCTTTCGCACCTGTTAAAGTATTGGCGAGCCTAATGATGGCTCTGCCGAATCATCTGAGTCCGTCATCATGAGTTTTTACAGGCTATTGTTGGCCGGGAAAGCCATTAGGCATCATCTAACGATATGTCGTCACTGGTAATCCACTAAGTGTGTGACGCCATTGGTCATGAGTTTTCCCGCGCCTTTTTGGGCCGACTTAAGGCCATTAGGCATCAGGTAACGATATGACGTCACTGGTATTCAATTAAGCATCAGATACAATATGTCATGTTTCATCTTTACCTTCCGCACCTATCTACTGCAAGTATTCGCGCGCCACATAAAGGCTCTGCCCAATCACCTGAGCGTGTGGTGTGACTGGTTATGAGTTTACGCGGGTTTACTCGGGCTGACTGAAGGACATCAAGCATCATCTGGCGATGTGACGTCACTGGTATTCAACTTAACACCAGGCGCGACAGGCCATGTTCGTCTTTACCTTTCGTACCTGTCTATTGTAAGCATTGACATGCTTAAGGAAAGCTCTGTGAAATCTCCTGAGTGTGTAATGTCACTGGTCATGAGTTCTTTACGGGCTGCTTTTTTGTACCTATAGGGTACAAGACATCAGTTGACGATATGACATCACTGGTATTTGACTTAATCTCAGGCGCAACAGGTCATGTTCCATCTTTGCCTTTCGCACCTCTATACTGCAAGTATTCGCGCGCTACATAAAGGCTCTGCCGAATCACCTGAGCATGTGGTGTAACTGGTCATGAGTTTACGCGGGCTTACTCGGGCTGACTGAAGGACATCAAGCATCACCTGACCATATGACGTCACTGATATTCGGGCTGTGGCCCAGACTTATGGCCGCTAGGCGGCGCCCTTGATTATTATTTAGCCATCAGGGCATTCCGGACCGTAGCTGCTCAGGGGCGCATCCTGTGATGTCGGGCGGAATAGCTTTGCATATACGTCGGTTTGTGGGCTGGGATCACCTTTGTTTTGTGTTTACGTTTGTTCAAATTTTAGTCGTTGAAACAGCCCGTTGCGTTTGAAGTTGTTACTTAATGGTGCGCACAATAAAATTAGTGTGCTTAACTATGGTGCATCTCCCACCTCTGCTGCGGAACTCCGTAGCCGTAGGTGGCCAAGTGACCTGCTACCAACTGATGATCAGTGACGTCACATACTCAGGTGATTCGGCGGAGCCTTCATATAGCACGCGAATATTTGCAGCAGCCAGGTACGAAAGGCAAATATGGAGCATGACCTGTTGCGCCTGATGTTTAGTCGAGCACCAGTAACGTCATGTCGTCAGCTGATGCATTATAACCTAAAATGGGTTCAAAGGAGCCCGTAAAAAACTCGTGACCAGTGACGTCACACACTCAGGAGATAGATTCGACGGAGCCTTCATTCAGCACGTCAATACCTTTAATAAACAAGTACAAAAGGTAAAGAAAGTACGTGGCATGTTGGACCTGATGTTAAGTCGAATAACAGTGACGACATATCATCCTGTGATGCTTCACGGGAGGTGTTGCTTTGTGGCCTTGGGCGGCCCAAGTGAATCCGTATGAACTCATGACCAGCGACGTCACCCACTCAGATGATTCGTCTGGAGTTTAGTCGATTACCAGTGACGTCATATCGTCAGCTGATGCTTGATGTCCGTCAGTCACCCCGAGTAAACCTGCACAAACTCATGGCCAGTTACACCACACGCTCAGGCGAATCGACAGAGCCTTTTGTAGCGCACGAATACTTGCAGTAGGCAGGTGCGAAAGGTAAAGATGAAACATGGCTTATTGCAACTGATGTTAATTCGAATGCAAGTGACGCCATAACGTTATCTGATGCCTAATGACCTGAACTCGGCCAAAAAAGGCCCGTAAAAGCTCATGACCAGTGACGTCACACACTCAGTGGATTACCAGTGACGTCATTTCGTTAGCTGATGCCTTATGGCTTTCGCTCAGCCAAAAATAGTTGGTAAAAATTCATGACCAGTGACGTCGCACACTCAGGTGACTCGGCAGAGCCATCATTTAACGCACCAATACTTTACAGGTACGAAAGGCAAAGATGGAACATGACCTGTTACGCCTCATGTTAAGTCGAACACCATTGACATCATGTCGTCAACTGATGCATTTTTCCCTATAGAGGGTTCCAAGGAGCCAGAAAAAACTCATGACCAGTAACGTTACACACCCAGGAGACTCGACAGAGCCTTCATTCAGCACGTCAATACTTGTAATAGACGGGTACGAAAGGTAAAGATAGAACATGGCCTGTCGCGCCTGATGTTAAGTCGGACACCAGTGACGTCATATCATCAGCTGATGCATTATACCGTTTGGGGGTGCAAAAGGTCCCGTAAAAAGCTCTTGACCAGTGACGTTACTTACTCAGGAGACTCGACAGAGCCTTCATTCAGCACGCCCATACTTCCAAGAGACAGGTACGAAAGGTAAAGATGGAACATGGCCTGTCGCGCCTGAAGTTTAGTCGAATACCAGTGACGTCATATCGTCAGCTGATGCTTGATGTCCTTCAGTCAGCCAGAGTAAACCCGCGTTAACTCATAACTAGTTACACCACACGCTCAGGTAATTCGGCAGAGCCCCTGTGTCGCGCGAATACTTGCAGTAGATAGGTGCGAAAGGTACAGACGAAACATGGCTTAGATGGAGCATGGCCTGTTGCGCATGATGTCTAGTCGAAACCCAGTGACATCATATCGTCAGCTGATGCCTTGTGGCCTATAGTAGGCTCAAAAGAGTGTGCAAATTAATGGTCAGTGACGTACACACTCAGGTAATTTGGCAGAGCCTTCCACGGCAATGCTTGCAATGGACAGGTACCAAAGATAAAGGTGGAACATGGTCTGTCGCGCCCGAAGTTCATTCGAATACCAGTGACGTCACATCTTCAGTCATTGCCGTATGACCTTTCGTCGCCCCAAAAGAGGCCGTAAAACCTCATGACCAGCGACACGCACAGTCGAGTGCCAGCGACGTCACATCGTTAGCTGATGCTTTATGGTCTTCAGTTGGCCGCACAAAAAATCCGCCAATACTTGCAGCAGACATGTACGAAAGGTATAAATGGAGCATGACCTGTTGCCTGATGTTCAGCCAAATACCAGTGACGTCATATCGCCAGCTGATGCCTAACGGCATTTCGTCGGTCCTATAGGGCCCGTGGAAACCCACGGCCATTGACGTCTTACAGTCGTATAGCAGTGACGTCGTTAGCTGACACCTTGTGGTCTTCAGTTGGCCGAAAAGCACCGTTGGAACTCATGGCCAGTGATGTCACACACTCAGGTGGTTCGGCAGCTTTCATCCAGCACGCCAGTGCTTGCAGTAGACAAGTACAAAGGTAAAAATGAGGCACGGCCTCTTGCGCCCAGTTTTTATTCGAATACCAGTGACGTCACGCTATCCGGTGATACTTCGCGGACCACGACACACCGTGGTCGTGAGGCCTAAGTGCACTCGTATGAAGTGATGATTAGGGACGTCACACATTGGGGTAATTCGGTCAAACCTTTATGCGGCACGCAAATG